AGGACATCTCTATGCTAATGACGATGCACAAGAAGAAGCCGAAGCACGGTGGTTCCGTGTTTGGCCATGAGTTCATCCAGAGAGAACAGTTGAGGTGCATGAGAGATTGATGCGCAACTATTTTGGTACACCACCCGTTTTCCAGGAAGGTACTTTCGTTGCCGGTTTAGGATGTCCAATGATTGTTCATCTACATTTGCAATTCCGTGAAGCAACATGATCGACACTTCAAACAATGGAGGAACTGTGTCAGTTTGCTTATAGATGAACAAAGCTTATGGGCTTTCAGGTGTGCTTGGGTCTATCAATTGCATGGACTGGACATGGAAGAATTGTCCTAAGGCATGGCATGGACAGTTCAGAGGACACTCCAAGGATGCCACCATCATTCTTGAGGCCGTCGCCGATAAAGAGACATGGATTAGGCATTCTTATTTTGGAATGGCTGGATCTTGCAAAGACATCAATGTGCTCGACTGATCACCTCCTTTTGCCAAGTTTGCCAACAGAGAAGCTCCACCATTGACGTTCGAAGCAAATGGCCGCACCTACAACTATGGGTACTACCTTGCGGATGAAATCTATCAGAAGTGGAGTACTTTTATGACGCCAGTCCAAAGCCCCCAAGGTAAGAAAGAACTCCATTTTCACAATGCTCAAGCGGCAGTTAGGAAAAATGTTGAGAGGGCATTTGAGATTTTGCAATCGCAATTATTGTGCGAGGACCAAAAACATGTTGTGCATGATCAGGCTTTGGTATTAGAAGAACCATTCGTACATCGTGCCTGCTTGCATGATCATTGAGAATGACCTTTGGCGGGATTTCGATTACACCTTCTATGATCTCATTGGCGTACGTGTTAGGCCAATTAGAAGAGAGGATCAGATCAGACGTTTCGTGAAGGTGTACCCTGACATTAGAGACGCCGATACACACATTGATCTTCAAAAAGATGTGATGGAGGAGTACTGAAAATGGCATGGGGAACAAACCTCCTAGTTTCATTCTTTGTTTGTTGTATTGTGCAAGAACTTTATTATATTTGTTGTTTTGGATTTAATGGATTATGTAATAATTTGATACCATGGACTGATGAAATTTCATGTTTTAATTAGGGATGTTTTTTATTTGAAATTATGAGGTTGTTGTGCGGCTGAAGTGTTTTTGTAGTGCGGCTGTATCACTGCTGCAGCATAACCGTTAGCCGTTTTTACATCATCTGTTGGTACACTAGTTTTACATCATCAATTATATATCGGAGTTGGATGTTTTTTGATGATGTAAAAAACAATGTTTGATTTTTTTAGAAAAGGAGGATGACCCCCGGCCTCTGCATCTGGGAGATGCATACGGCCACTTTATTGATTATTCTCAAGGACCTTACAAAGTATTACAACAATGTGCCTGAATCCACCATCTTGGCAACATATGCCGCTACTCCTATCCAAAATGATGAAGGGGTGCTAGCTGGGCCACTACCCAAACCACTCACCTAAGCCTAACATCAAAAGTCGGAAGCCGAAACTCATTCGGAAGCCCCAGTCGAGCCACATACCGGGTCTGGGGCACAATCCGGTCAGAAGCACTCGTGTGTCGTCGCCGCCATCTTCCACGGGTCTTCAGATCATATTGAGGCTTCTACCTTGTCTGGCCACTCTGCCATTGACGTCACCATGACGCCAGACAGCAACCTCCTCCTGCGCGAGCCCATATCCGCGCATCGGACGCCGAGTCTCCACAGCGCCATGCCATTGATCTCCGCCACCATCAATGTGTGAGATGAAACATCGCTCCACCATCCCTCCAGCCAGCACTTGCTCCAAGACGATGCCCCCAAAAGGGAAAGCGATAGAATGCCATCATCATCCGATCCGGAAGACCCAGATCTGGGGTTTCCCCCTGAGCATCCCGAACCTGATGGCGTAGACTGCCGACGATGCCTCGACCATCAGCAGTAGCTCCACCAGACGAGCGTCGCCTACGTCGCCACAGCCTCCAAGATGAAGCTGACCAGAATGCATATGTCAACACCGAACCGCCGCCACTTCCACCGCCGCTTGAGCAGCCCCCGAGCAACGCCTTCAGGAAGGAGCACGCCACCGTGGTGTCGTCGTCACTTGGAACAGGGGGGTCTGAGGTTTTCACCCGAGCTCCTGGGAGGGGTGGAAGGAAGGAGGTCCTCTCCGAAGCCTCCAACGAGGGAAGCAACACCCAAAGGCACTGCCATCGGAGTGGCCGCCACGCCGGCCAAGAGATTCCCCCGGAACCCTTCCAGCCACCGGATCTGCAAGGCCAGCACCCAAGAACGGTGACCGAAGCCACAAAGGGCCGGATCCGCTGCAGATCGGTGTAGATCGGGGTCGACGTCGAACATCACCATGGCCACCAACATCCAGTGAGGAACCGCCGCCGCAGCCGAAGCCCACACACCTCCTCGCCATCCACATGGCCAGGGAAGTGGCCCACCTGTCCACGCCGGCGCCGCCCGCCGCCAAGCTGCGTCGCGTGCCACCAGCCATGGCCGCCGTCATGGATCCGAGCCGCAGGCAAGCCGCCAGCCGCGGGGCCCCGCGGGAGAAGAGAGCCGCGCCACGGGGGGAAGGCCCCGCCGCCGCCGCCACAACGCGGGCTTCGCACGGTGGTGGCCTCCGGCGGCGGCGAGGGGATTAGCTGGAGAAGGGGGGGCCCGGCGGCGACGCGGTTGGGGGCTGCCGCCCGTGTCGCCTACCCTAGGCGACGCGGGGGCCTGGGTGCTGCCGCCAGATCGCAGATCGTCTAGCACTTTTTGACGATTTAAATTATACATCTAGCATTTTTGGTGATTTATTTTACAACATCTATTGCAGATGCTCTAATCTAGGAGATGTGCCCACAAGTGCTAGGGAGCAAATGAGTGTCCACTAGCCTCGTCCTAAATGAAATCGGAGAGAAATCCCTCTTCGCCTCATCCTAAATGAAATCAGGAGAAATCCCTCCTCGCCTCGTCCTAAATGAAATCAGGGAGAAAATCCTCTTATTATTATTATTATTTTCAATAGTTCATGTAGCGATTTTTAAAGTGTTATTGTGAGCTCGAGCTCCTATGAGCTTGGATAAACAATAAATTCCTAAAAAGGTAAAGAAAATTCAAAAAATCTGATTTTTTTGGCAAGAAACACCGATGTTTTTTCCACACGCGTGCCAATCCTCCATGGAATCATATTCATGGAGGCGTGGGCAAAAAAAACAATATCAATGCTTCCAAAAACACTCTTTTTGGATCATCGTTTTTTTGCCCATGTTGACGTATAATGTGCCCACACCTCCATGAATGTGATTTCATCGTGAAAATTTACACGCGTGTGAAAAAAACATCAATGTTTCTTGCCAAAGAAAATTAGAATTTTTACCTTTTTACTATTTTTTTAGAATTTACTGTTCATGTAAGCTCATGTGAGCTCGAGCTTACATACTCCATGTCTCAGTGTTTTTCTCTTTTTGTTTTTGTTTTCGAGAGGCCTATCAACCCATGAGTTTTTGGTAACTTCAGCCCATGAGCCGTATACTTGTTCACTAGCCGTTACTTGCAGTGGAGATTGCTTCAGACTGCAAAAACGCTGTTCAAGACATAAATCTTGGCAATGGAGGAATGAATGCGAGCATTGTGAAGGAGATTAGAGCGACTACTACTCAATTTCAGAGTTGTGTCTTCATCTTTAAAGGGAGAGTATCGAATCAAGAGGCCCATAGCCTTGTTAAGCTGTCTGGACCAGGGGCGCCATGACCTGAATTGTATCCCTATGAACATTACTGATCAATAAAGCAAGTGTGTTTAGACTCAAAAAAAAAAACTTGCAGGAGATACAGGAACTACCCAAGCGAATGCTGTTGGTGTCGTATGTCGAAGTGATCGTGGTGTATTCCTGGGAGCGTCCGCGGTAGCATTCCAAGGTGTGACAGAACCTGCTACTCTGGAGGCGTGTGCGTGGAGAGAAGCTTTAGCTCTTGCGGAGGACCTGGCCGTCTCAAAAGCACGCATTGCATCTGACTGTCCGAGAGTCATAAATGACCTAAAGAGGGAGCAGAACTTAGGCGAGTACTGCATGATCCTTAGAGAGATTGACGATAGAAAGATGAGACTACATAGTTGCGAGTTTGTCCACAAACACCGCGCAAGTAATGATGAGGCACACAGATTAGCTAGATCATCACATGTGTGGCTTATTGATCCACCGGATCACATTTGTATCCCTTTAAACATTATTGAATGAAATAAAGTGCGGTGTTCTTCTAAAAAAAAGCCGTTTATATATGAGGGCCGCTTTGGCTCAGGGAAGCATATGCTTTCGGATGAACAACAAATTCAAAATAAATAGTAAATGAAATTTAAAAATTCTGTTTTTTGTGTGTGGATGTTCATGTTAGTCTAACAAACCCGTTTGACAATTTTCATGTGAAACAGTATAGTAGTGCTTCGTCGATATATTTTTTTCTAAGTGTGACATTTGGTGTTCAAATTTTTTCTTTTCAAGCAGGTCAAAATGCTTAAGCTTTTCCACTAAATATTTGCAGTTAGCATTTGGGTGCGACAATGAACACATTTGACATTTGTGAAAAACATTTTTGACGAGCAGGAGCATATGCTCCCAAGAGCCGAATTGGATTACTAATAGCTGTTAAGAAATAGGAGTAACATGTACTAACAACAAAGTAAATAGCCTTGGTTTGAAGAACCCCCTACCTTTATTCTTAAAAGCCTCATGAACGATGTATATGATTATTTGAACTCGACAAAGTTGCCATGATGGCTCTAGTCGGCCGCAGTACAAACACAACTTTCTACCGTTTGTGATAATCCAAACAAACCTGCGCGCAATCGCATCCAGGCCGGGGACTGGCTGCTCAATCCGCATATGGTTCACTCGATCTGCAGCATAACGATGTCGCAAACTTGCAATCGGTCTTTCCTCTACATACTGCTTCCTTTACCCCTCCTAAACAGGAACGAGTCATCGTCACCTCACCACGCCCTGCACGCAGAGAGTACAAGGATCAAAGCCTGATGGCGTAAGAACTGGACTGCATCGGAAATTCAGAAATATAGCCAACCACAGGATGTGGCAGCAGAGCTGCAGTTTTGATACAGAAAGTTAACGGTGGCTGCTGCCACTTGGAAGGCGAGCGACCTCCCTCAACCATAGAGGTGTGAAGGGCAGCTCATGATCACTTCACGGTTTTACCATCGAGTGGCTAGGTGTCCCAGAACCTGACCTTGTTGGTTCATGGCATTGTGATAGCCACAGGTCGATGTGCTTGACGATCTGCTTCCTTACTGTGTTCACAGCTTCTGGGGACGTGCAGTTTGAAGAGTCACCTGACGAAGACAATGTGCAATATATCAGAACTTTCCCTGAATTTGATGATGAGTCAAAGGCTTCAGATAAGCTACTACATTGTAGGAAAAATGATAATCAATTACTCCCTCCGGTCCATATTAATTGTGGATCGGAGGGAATACTATTTTTGGTCCTCAAGAAAATGAAGGCACTACAACTAATTGTGAGAAGAGTTATGTTGTACTCCCTCTGTAAAGAAATATAAGATCGTTTAGATCACAAGAGCACTCTATATTCTTATAATAAGCTTTGCAGGAAACCAAGTTTTGCAATCCACCTTCAATCCTGAAAGGAAGCTGGGGACATCCTCTCAAATCAGTGCCATGTCCGCAGTTGCTACATTTGATTATGTATGATGGCACTGCACATGTTGTATTACCACCATTAGTACACACACCAAAGCGAGAAATCATTCCAGAGGTGTATAGTAAATGCCCTAAAGAGCAAGGCTATTGAGACATGAAATAGCCAGAATGTACTTAGAAATTTAAAGGCTCACTGTCTTCCGATGACTTCTGTTTGGAGGCATGACGCCATGGATCTTGAGAGCCATTTGTAAACACAATTTTAGAAGCTGCACATGTGTAATGCAAAATTAGGAAGAAAGCAAATTGGACCATCACCATCAATAATTTATAAATCACAAAAGTTGCAATCCATTACAGCGCTACACTCCTAGGTGCTTGGTACCACCACTTTCTCGAAAAAAGAAGTTGCAATCCATAAAATTAAAATCAGAGAAGCCATAGTATGCTCACAGTTACTTGGTAGGCGCACGAATGCAACAATTAAGATACACAAAAAGGGTCAATTGATGTAGTAATGCGGCTGTGTTACCAGCTACATGATTAAGAGCATTGCAAGGGTGCCAACTGGACTGCCGATGTCATTTTACAAGCACGTATACCTTAACTATCGCAAGTAACTTGATTTACTAAATAGGGGACATTGTAAAGTAAACATGGGGAAAATAAAGTGAAAGACGAACCGGCAATACTTGTGCCTCCATAATATAAGTTTGTCATGAACACATCAGGATAAACTCCTTCTCCATAAACATTTTTACACAGGTCCAAATTGTACCTAGAGTAACACAAAAGCAAAGCAATCATAAGAAATACTAACTAGTTTATAATATATACCTGATTTCAGAAAGATAAGCAACAGATAGTTGTAAAACATATCCAGGCTATATGCCATGCCGCATTAAGAGAGTATTAAAGAAAAACTACAGTCTGAAAAAAATATGCTGACACTACTTCAATCCCTTGTGTAGGTCTGCCTGGCTTTTCCAGAGTTTTGGGAGTTGACTTTTGGGGGGTGGGGGGCGTTTTTAAGTGAATTTTGGGGGCTAGTTTTTGGGCACTGACTTTTCGGGATCAATTAGAGATGCCCTTAGGTTAGCCTTTCTCTTTCTCAACATCTCAGCAGGAAGCAATTTTGGCTTTTGGGACCTTTTCAAAGATAATTCAGGTGGAGAATTTTCCCCTCCCTAGTACATGCTGAGATAAAAACGCATGGCACAGTACCTTGTATTGACCTGCGCAGAACGAACACTGTCATTTTTGGGTGCGACTTGAAAATAGGCAACTTCACTGCAAACTTGGAACCACCAAAGTCTAGAACCTAAAAAATAACAGAAAAGGTAAATGAACAGTAAATATTTCAGCCATGTCTGTCAGTAACAAACAAGAAATGCCATGGTGTTTCACTCGATGATCTTCAATGTCAGTACAGTTTCCAATCCACACCAAAAGAAAACAAGTAGAGCCATCATTTAAACATACTAGAATCATCGGGAGTTGTTTCCTTCAAATACTCTTGATCATAAGAAGATACTGTAGTCCCCAATTTTTTAATGAAGTAATCTTTCACAAAATGAGCATATGTTTCCTGCAAAGTCAGTACATCGAATTTTATAAATCCATGTGCATGTCCACAAAAAGTTGCTAGAATAGTGAAAATGGATCAGCAAGGAAATTAGAATAGTCACAAATTCGCTAAATGGAGAATAAGAAATAGTCACATGCCGATTACGTGTGAAATTTAAAATGTTTGAATCACCATCACCCAGATGAGAGTACATCAGCTTTAATAGTCGCCATGTGCCTCCCACTGGTCAGTGGCTCTTAGACAGTATCTACTCTCATTTCTAGAAAGCTTTTCACGAAGCCTAAGAAACCAAGCAAACCAGAGGTGCTCATGTATGATTAATTGATTACAAAACGAAGATATTTAGTTACTCACCACCAAACTTTCCCCCTTTTTCTTCGCATTTGCTAGAGGAGAGCACAAGGCATCAGGATTCCCATACTGGAACTGCAAAATATCATAGGTTCCCAGTAAACCCAAAAAAAATGGTGGCATTGCGATAGTAGAGCAGCACTACAAATTGACTGTTCATACTGTTGTGGCTGCTGCATCTGCCAGTAGAAAGAGGAAGTCGCCGTCATTTTTCAACTGCATGTACAGGAAACAAATCGGCAGCTGAGGTGAAGATCATGAAGTTACTGAATACTAGTTGATTTGGCCACATGAAATTTGCAGTCAGCTGTCATGTTCCAAAGTAAAACTGCACCTACTAAATCACACTGACAATACCACAAGGTGACAAGGGATTACCGAATCTGCTCCGAACAAGGCCTTCACCGAGTGGCTATCTGACCGAAGTTGTTCGTCGACAAGTCTAGTTATTTCCTGAAGGGCGGCTTTGCACTGAGGGCCAGCCGACTCTCCGACCTGCGTAAAGGCGACCGGGCAGAAACTTGAATTGAGCCCAATATAGATTATAGAACAGTCAGCAATACACTACTACAGCAGCAGGGGTTTAATCGAATCCATCCCACAGAATCATGACGTGTCTCCATGGCAGGGTGTGCAAACCTGCTTGTCGAAATCAGTGAAGTTGTACACAGCAAGAACCACCCCGGAGCTGGCGAGGCTTCCGCATGTCAGGTGAGGGAACTTGAGCCTGAACCATGCGCTGAGAGCCCCGGAGTAGGAGACCCCGAAGACGAACCACGGATTGTCGAACCCCGCGCTCCGGTTGTACTGAGAATTCAGTTTTTCCTACGAATCCCAGAGAAAAACAAGATGCTGTTCAGAAGAGAGAATGCGTATTCTGTAACTCTGTCAGCGCGTGCGTGACCTGGCCGACCTGGTAATACTGGCGGAAGACGGCGAGGTCGAAGAGCGCCTGCTTGGACGAGAGGAACCTGAGGTTGTCGGTGGTGAGGCTGTCGAACGGGGAGCTCTTGCCGTAGTACCGGTGCTCCGGCGTCACCACCGCCGCGCCGAACTTCTTGGCGATGACGGCCAGGTAGTCGTTGGGGAGGCCGTCGCAGGAGGACTCGCCGCAGATGCGCAGGAACACCGGGCCGTTAGGGTCGTCGTGGTAGTCCAGGAACTCGAAGTAGCGCTGCTTGAATTGGCGGTGGTCCTGAGGGCAAGATCGTACATGGCGCTCATGGATCACACTCGCACGGACGGAATTCTTAGGCAGATGCGCGTAGGGAGCTATTTACGTGTCGCGCATAATTCCAGGGGTGTAAGAGAGAACTTACGGTGGGGGAGAAGTGGTCGAGGCGCTGGCTCATCCAGCGCTCCTCCCGCGTCAGGTATCTGCTCGGGGCGGCCGAGAGCTCGTCGCCGGCGGTCGTCGGGCGGTGGTTGAACCCGAGCGGCTCGGTGCTGCGCAGGAGCAGGAGGAAGGAGGCGCCGAGGAGGGAGGCGAACCCAGCGCGGGACACCATTTTTTCCGGCTGCTAGACTCTCCTTCCCTTCCTCTGTCGAGTGTTTGTTTTGGAGCGCAGCCGCGCCGGTAGCCGATTGACTAGTCTCAGTGGCACGCACAAATCCGAAGCAAAAAACAAGAAGCAGCTAAAGCATTTAAATTTAAATGCTTTTCTATTGTCCATTTAAACGTGGAGGCTGGGGCGTCGCTTTTTTTGCCCGATGCGACGTGAACTAGAGGCTATCGCCGTCCATACAGAGATAATTTTTCCAATCTATCACCTCGGTCCCGACTTATGGATAGTAGTTCAATATGAACTGGGAGTACATATGTTTTTTAAAATATCGCAGCCGGTGCACCGTGCACGGGAAGAATGCCAAGTTGTTTATCAGTTAGTACTAGTGAGAAAGCAATCGCGAGACATGCCCCGAGTACCGATCGCCAACCTTTTTGGATGATTCAACTTGTTGCAAAGCGCGCCATGCTCTGGCGACTGGCATGGGCATGCCTATGGAGGTGTGCCAGCCATCTGAAAAAGAAGAAAAAAAAGGGAGGTGTGCCCAAGCTCCTTTTTTTTTTTTTGCGGGCGTGTGCCCAAGCTCCTTTGGAGGCGAAGAGGAACGATGCACTGGTATGCACTCGTACCAGCCTACCAGGTGCTCTCATGGTCGTATATTCTCAGAAGGTGCTTCCGTAGTCATATACGTATTCAGGTATTTTCAGACTCTCAGCGGCATCCAGCAAGTTTAGTGGCCAATTCGGTTACATGTAGCACATATCATCATATTCGCTGCACGTATAACATCCCTGACCATA